AGGGCAATAAGAGGTTGGCAAACGTCATCGACCGTTCGTACGAAAAAAAAAAAACATCGGTCAAGGCTGTTTTGTTAAAAAAAAATATTTTGGGTTAATTCCAGAATTAAATAATAATACGGAGGGGGGATGTGGGGGGGAGAAAGGAGAACATAGTGAGAGAGAGAGAGAGGAAGGGAGGGAGAGGGAGGGGAAATGAATTTTCTTCTCTATTTTTTTTCCGTGGCAAAAGAGTTTAGAGATGGTCGAAAAGTTTTAAATGAAATATTGCTTGAAAACAAAGTTTAGAAACTAAATGAAAAAGAGAGAGAGAGAAGGAAAGTAAAATTAAAAGAGAGAGAGAGAGAAAGAGAGAGAGAGAGGGGAGGCGGAAAGGGGAATAATAAGGAATGCGATTTTTATAATAAAAAAAAAAAAAATATTGAAAATAACTGACGAAGGATTTTAATTTTTTTTTTCTTTTTATTTTTTTTTTCTTCTCCAGTCCGGAGTATAAAGATCATAATTCTTACTGGATCGGTGCATCTGATAAACTTTACGAAGGTTATTTTCGTTGGTCTGATGGTTTTCCATTTTCTTATTCCAGTAAGTAAACATAATAAAACTATTTAAATTTTTTTTTTCTAATGACACGTCAAAAATTAAATGAATAAATATAATAAATTTTTAATTTTTCCAGATTGGTTTCCGGGTTGGTCGCACCAAAGTTATTACAATCGTCAACCCAACGACGATGGTTTCAGTCATCAGGATTGCGTTGAAATACGTAGAATATTTCCTCATCCTTCCGGTTCCAGGATCGTTGATAAAATGACGCCTTCTTACCTCTGGAACGATTTAGATTGCAACATTAAAAATTTTTTTTTATGCGAAAGACACGAAACAGGAGGTAAAAAAAAACAAACAATTTACTCATCCCACTTCTCTTGCCAACCCTACCCCAACCCACCCTTCCCCCCTCTTTTTATATTTTTTATATACGAAAAAAAAGGCTTAAAAACGTTTTAATAATAATAATAATAACAACCGGATTAACAAAGCCTTGATTAATTTTAAAAACAATTAAATTTTTTTTTTATTTTTATTATTGTTATTATTCTAAAATTTCTCTTCCCTTCATTTTTCAATTTTTAATTATTATTATTATTATTATTATTATTTTTTATAAAAACATTTAAAGTTTATTTCAGTTATCATGTGTTTTGTTAAGACCCGGCACAAAAAAAATTTTTTATGACTTTTTAAACCTATCATTATTATTATTCCTTCCGCTTTTTTTCCCAAATGTATATATATGTGTTTTTTTTTTTTTAATACGTAAATAACAGAAAATTATTTTTTAAATGAATTTTTATTTATTATCATTATTAGTATTATTATTATGAGTCGGTTAAAAGTTACGATACAATTAAATTTCCTCCCCCCCCAATTCAAAAAGGGGGGAGGAAAAAAAAACGTAAGAAAAATTTTAAGGTATTTCAAATAAAATAGCAAAAAATAAAACGAATAAAATGAAGAGAATGATAATAATAATAATAATAAGTTTAAGGAGAAAGTAATAAGTAAGGAAAACCATAGAATAAAACAACAAACCATAGAGTAAAAAAAAAATTTTTTTTTCCAGCCTAGTTTAATTTTTTTTTTTACTTTTTTTTGGTTTATCTAATATAAAATTCGCCATTTTGTTTTTTTTTTTTCGTTCTAAAAATTTATATATTTAAAGGCCTTTCTTCCTCTTGAAAAATTATATTTAAAAAAAATGTTATAAAATTGTTCAAATGTTACCAACTTAACAACGTAAAAAAAAATAAAAAAAACTTTTTCTCTTGATTAAAAACTTGTTTGTAGGAAAACAACAACTAAAAACAAGTTTGTTTTTTCTCTCTCTCTCTCTTTCTCACTTTTCTTTATTTCCGTCTCCGGTTTTAAAGTTTTTTTTTTAATGACGTCATAAATGAAAGATAAACATAGTTTTCGTCAAACTTGATTTTCGTATACGATGTATATACGTCTTATTAAATGGAGGAAAACAAACAAACGGAAGGAAATAAAATAAAAAATACGAAAAAGGGAAATTATAATTAAATAATTGTGTAGTAACAATTTCACGATGATTTCCTGGAACGCGATGACAAAACTGGAGAAATGTTAATAATAATAGTTGTAATTCACGCCTTAGGTCGTAGAATGATAATTTACGAAAAGGAAAAGAGGAAAATTGTTGGAGAAAAGAAAAAAGTTCATCAAAGGAAATCAGAAAAAAAAACGATTTGAAATTTTTTTTTTCCAGAAATAAATAATAATAATAATAATAAAATAAGAAGTCAAGGTTGAGCCGAGGATCAGACATTTTGGAATCAATTCAAACAAAAAAAAAATTTTTTTTTTTGAAGGGTAGGGGAGGGGAAAAGGGAGAGAAAGAGGATCGTAGTGGAAAACGGTGCCTGGAAGACGGCCAAATGGATTTTTTTTTTTTGGAATTTTGAGCAATTACTACAACATCCTTCCTTTTTTTTTCTTCTTATTTCTCCAGTTATCATCATCATTTTTTTTTATTCCCCAAGTTTTTTATTTTAAATAATAATAATAATAATAATTTATTTTCATATCGAATCATCATCGATTTTTTTTTTTCCATTTTTACTGGACGAAAAAAAAAATGGAATTAAAAATTTTTTTTTTTTTTTATTTTTCTCCAGATTCTTCGGAGCAATTACGTAATCAGGAATGTAATAAAACAATCGTATTATCACGTGAACATCCGAAAGGAACGGTCGTTAGTTTTGGTTTTCCACATCAATATCCTGATAATATATATTGCGAAACAATCGTTGTTGCTCCTCCAGGTTATAGATTGATTATCGATTTTGATGAATTGGTTATCGAAAAAGAACCATCGTTAGTATTAGAAAAAAAAATCGATTTTTTTGTTAAAAAATAATAATAATAATTTCTTACATCGGATTCTTATCATTTTTTTTTTAGATGTAGTTACGATTATTTGGAATTGATAGAAGATCCCTGGAATGAAAATGTTAATCCAAGGAGGTTATGCGGTGATATGAGTGATAAACTTAAACTCCAGAGACACATTTCGCAGGGTTCAAAACTTAAATTTATTTTTGTTTCCGATTATTCTCATCATTATGGAGGATTCAAAGCAAGAGTCTCAATAGAAAATGGTGAGTTTTTTTTTATCATTATTATTATCATCATTATTACTATTCATTCGTTGAAGGTTTTTTTTAAAACGTTCCAGTATAAAAACACCCGGAAAGAAAAAAATAATAATAATTAAACTCCTGGACAATTTTTTTTTTTTTTGCCACGGTTTCTCTCTCTAATTTATTTAACCTTTGAACTTTCGATTAATCCTTTTTGAGAATATAATATATATATTTTATTAAAACCTTTTGTTCCAGTACCAGTTTTCTGTTTCCGATCATTTCCGGTGGAGCATAAAATAAAAAATGGTCGAACAAAATTAAAAATTTTTTTTTTTTTTGGAAAATATTTTCGAACGTTTGAAATCGATAAAAACGATTATTATTATTATTTATACGTAAATGCGTAGAAAACGTAGTAGGGAGAGGAGGAAGGAGGGGGGGCAGTGAAAGGGATAAAAAGGTTTAGCGCCGCTTTTTTTTTCGGCGAGGAAAAAAGTGTAGGGCGGGGGAAGTGAAGGGCATTTCTCAACCTATAACTGAATAAAAACCTGTCAAACGTGATTTATAATTGTTAAAATTTTAAATGCTTATAATGCGAAATAATAATAATAATAATAATAATAATAATAATAATAATAATAATAATAATTTATCGTTGGATGTGTTAAATACGACGATTTTTTTCCAGAGGAGAAGAAGAGGGAGGGGAGGGAGGAGAAAGGAAAAAGGGCCGGTCCGGAAAAATTTTTTTTGTTAAATAATTTTTGAAATCGAAAAAAATTTTTTTTTTTTTTTGTTGATTAATTTTTGCGATTTGAAATAAAACTGGAAACTTCTGGAACATTTTCATTTTGTTTATTTTTCCCAAAATGATTTGAAAGTGGTAAAAACCATTTTCCTTATCCCGTTTTTATAAATAAAAAAAAATGGCGGAAAGGTATTGAATTGACCGCATCGTAATTTTTATACTCTCTCGCGTTTCAATTTCAGAACCCTGGGAAAAAAGAAAAAAAAAATATTTTGACCTTGTGTGACCTTTTTAAAAACCATTTCCGGTTTTTCTTTATTTCACATCAAATATTTCTATTAATCATTTATCGATTTTAAAAAAATTTTCGTTTTATATCCTGAAGAAAACAAAACACTCCGAACGAAATTTTTTTTTAATTTTCTTATTTTTAATCGAAATATATTCTTACGTCACCGCCGCCTCTCCTCGCCCCCCGCTTCCCCCACCTTTAACTCTATTATTCATTCTGTAATTAAAAATTTTTTTTAAATCGAAACCTAAACTTTAACTTTTTTTCCCCCGTCGAAAAAAGCGACAAAAAATCATTTCCGCCGAATAAAACGATTCTCACACGTCGTCGCCTCCTTCTTCCTTTCCCCCTCCACACCCACCAAAAAACCGTTGTGTGTTCATTAGATTTTTAATTAAAAAAAAAACAAAAATGAGAGTCGAAAAATCCCCATTCCTACCGCCATCTTTGATTTTCATATTCATTAAAAAATTTAATTTAAATTTTTTTTATTAAAAAAAAAAAGAAAAAAAATTTAATTTTTTTATTTCTTAGCTAATCGCGCCGATTTTAGCGGTAAGTGTGCAATAAAAAAAAAAAACGTAATGCGATTATTTACAAGGTATATTATCATCATCATCATCATTATCATTATCATTATTCATTTAATTATCAATGAGTTTTTCCACCTCGAAAAAAATTACAATTTTTTATTTTTGCCTGTTTTTTTTAATAGTTATACCTTTGATCTCTTTCACTTCTCTCCCCCCAACCCCAAAAAAAAAATTCAAAACGGAAAAAAAATTTTTTTTTTTTGTTTGTTTGTTTGCTTATTGACCTACATCATCATCATCATCATCATCATTATTATTATTATTTGTAAATGAAAATTGTTTTGTTACTTTAGTCACGAACACAATTTAATACAAATCATTGATTTTTAAATTGGTGAGGGGATGGAGGGAGGGGGAGGTGAAGGGGTGAGGAAAAGGGAGGGATGGGGAGGGAGCGACAGAGACGGAAACACACGAGTCGATATATTTGTACATAACAACTAAAACAAAAACAACAACAATAACGAAAAAATTGTTTTTTTTCTTTTTTTTTTTTGATTGGTTTTCTCATTTGTCGAATATATCGTCATTATTATTATTATTATTATCATTATCATTATTATTATGATCGAGTTAACTGAAAAACGTTTAATAAGAAATCGGTTCGATTTTTAAAAATTTTGGAATTTATCCGATCGGAAAAAGGAAAAAATTTATTGTTATTACAATAATAATGACCTTTTGAACTTTTAAAGTATCGAAGTCCCTAATTATTATTATTATTTGATTTTCATCAAAAGAAAAACAACCTTTTTCCGCTTTTAAATATTTTTTGAAAAATTTAAATTTTTTTTTTCCCGCCTTTTTATTTTTTATTTTATTTCACCCAATCCGATTAATTCGGTTTTCAATTACGTCATTTTTTTTTCTTGTTTTTTCCACCGGATTTTCCTCTCAAAGCCGATAACGTAATTCCATCGGTACGTTTTATTATTATTATTATTATTATTACCATTATGGTGAACGGTTAAAAAGTGTGACGTCACAATCGTATAAGCACAACAAAAACGTTTTAATAAAAAGAATTTCAAATATTTTTTTTTTTGACCCGTTTCCAAATTCATTTTAAACGATAAACCCTTACTCGGGGTCGATGGTGATGATGATGATGATGGGGGGGAGAGGGAAAGAGGGGGGAAAGGGAGGGGAGGGATGATTTAAAAAGGATCAGGTATGCTTTGTTATTATTATCATCATCATTCGTAAACGTGATGTCGGTAAAATAAAAAAAATAAAACTCATACCGTAAATGAATTATTGCCAACCGAATAAAAATTTTTTTTTTTTTTTACGGTTGGCAACAAACAAAAAATTTTTTATATACGGAAATGGGAAAAAGGGCGCGAAATGATAAAATTCATACATGCTACAAACAAACAAACAAAAAAAAATTATTTGTTTTTTAAATGTAGAAAAAATTTTTTAAGCATGGCGGCTGAATATTTTGAATTGAAGCTACGCTCCTGAGCCTTTTTATTTATTTATTTATTTATTGATTTATTTTTAGTTTAATAATTAATATCCAAAAATTAAAAAGAAAGTATGTAGTTGGTAGTTTATTTATTTATTTAATTGTTGCATCATTAAATTTATTATTATTATTTTGTTATATCGTCGTAAAAAATGTTTGATAAGTATTTATTATCATTAATTGCGTTGAAAAATGTTCTTTCCCCCGCTCCCCCACCTGCCGTTTAAAAAAAAGGTTAACGATGGAAAAAGGTACTTAAAGGTTATCAAAAAAAAAAAAAAAATGGAGAAGAAGAAGGAAGAATTATTTAACAAAAACCCCTTTAAAAGTAAATAAAAACTTTAAATTCTTTTCCCCCCCCCTTTTTTTCGGGGGGTCCTAGAAAGTCTGGGGAAAAAAAATTTTTTTTTTACGTGGTTGTAACTCGTCGTCAAAAGCGTAAAAAAATAAATAATTAAACACTATAAAAAAAAAAAAAAAAATTATAAAAGTTTGTGAGAGAGAGAGAAAGAGAGAAAGGAAGAGAGAGAGAGAGAGAAACACACACAAAAAAATTTTTAGTTAAGTTTAGTTTTTTAAAAATTTATAAAATACCCTCGGGATAAATATGAAAAGAGAGAGAGAGAGAGAGAAAATGTACAGCGGTTTCGTCTAAAGATATATTTTTGTATGTAGTAACCCTTATTACTATTATGCCGTGTCAGAAGAAAATGCGAGGATTTGAAGAGTAAAAAAAAAAAAATTTTTTCCTTTTTTCTCTTGAACGTGGTTGAAGATTACAATGTATCTTCGATAAGTCTCAAGGGAAAAAAGAGGAAAAGACGGAAAAACTTTATCACACGTCAAAACTTTTCTTTTTTTTTTAACTTTCGATTCCATTATTCATTTATTATTCTTCCATTTTTTTTTTTTTAAATTTCAAATTTTAACAAAGAAAAAAAAAAAAAAAAGTTTTTTGTCTTTCTTCTGCTAAAAAACAATAAACGTCGAAAATATTTATTAATATTAATTTTTAAATCTAATTCCACGACGTTATGTCTATTCTATCAAACACACACGTGTTTATATTTATTTACACGTGTTAATTCTATTTACATCTTTACCACGATTCATTTTATTAAATTTATAAATTTCTAAATTTTTTCTTTTACAATGCTACCAACCTTCTTTTTTTTTGGTTTTAACATAAACTTTTGAAAAAAAAAAAAAAATGTAACGTCGTAAAAGTTTTCTTTTTCTCTACATTAAACATATTTTTTATTATTATTATTATAAAGGGTTTAGAAAAAGGAAAAAAAAAGTGATCACGTGATAAATTATTCTTTCTTTCTTTCTTTTCTTTTTGCCATCTTATTATTTACATTATTTATTACTAAAAATTTTCTTTTATTATTATTATTATTATTATTTTTATTTTTTAATGAAGGATAAAAAGCTTTTAAAAAATTTTCTTTATTTAAAAAAAAAAAAAAAAAAAAATTAAAACCATCCTTTTTCTTCAACCACGTTCATTTTTTTTTTATTCTTTCTCTACCATGAAAATTACCCAAATAATAATAATAATAATAATAATAATAATAATAATAATAATTAAATACATAATTCAAGTACGTGTATAAATATATCACGAAGTCGCGACGTGTATGTTATTACTTAGCTTTATTATTATTATTATTATCATTTTAAATTATTAAATAAATTTAGTTAAAAGGTTTTTAGGATTTAAGGACGAATTTAAAATTTAAAAAAAAAAAATGGCGCGAAAATGAAAATTTAAAGAAAAAAATTTTTTTTTTCCCCCATACTCAGTGCTAAAGAGAATAATTTAATTAATTAATTAAATTTTGTTTTTAATTTAAATTTTATTACTATTGTTAATAATGATAATAATTAAAAGGATCAAAGCGGAAACGGAAATTCGTATAGGTGTAACAAAAAAAAAAAAAAAAGGTCAAATCGTATAAAATAATCGACGAGTTAAAAAAAAAAAAAGGTTTTGAATTCGTGTTTAATTATTGGTACGGGAAAATTTATTTATTTAAATTACTTCCGGTTTGTTTAAAAAATGACGTCATTAAAAAAAAAATTTTTTAAAGGACCCCGAAGAAGAAAAAAAAAATTCGTTTGGAAAAGAAACATGATTGATGGATGAGAGACATCATTAAAATATATTTAAATAAATTTTTTTTTACTTTTTTTTTAAAATTTTATCGATTTCGCGGCGGCGGGTTCTGTAAAAAAAAAAAATTTTTCTAGAAATTTCCACGTCAATTAATTCCTATCATTATCATTATTATTATTATTATTATTATTAATATTATTTATAAATTTAAAAAAATTAAAAAAATATTAATTCCATCTGTTGCATTAAATAAAAGTAAAAAAAAACAAAATTTTATAAAACGATCGCCATTTTCTCTCTCTCTCTCTCTCTTTCTCTACCTCTCTTTCTCTCTCTCTTTTTTAAATTACAAAAACTTTTTCGAAATTTCATTATTATTATTATTATTCTTAATATTATTATTCAAAAAAAGAAAATTATCATTCCGGAGGATAATTTTACTTCATGGATGTGAAAAAACTGAAATCATTTTTTTGTTTTTTTTTTTTTTTCACTCTTTTCGAATGTTTTTTAAATTTCCGTTAAATAATAATAATAGAATTTCGTTTTTAATACTTTTATAAATAATAATAATACTAATAATAATAATTTTATCCATCAATCAAAACGAATAAAAAATAGGGGGGGGGGTAGAGAGAGAAAGAGAGAGAGAAAAAGAAACTTTTATTAATTTACCTTTTTTAAAATAAAATGAAAGTTTACATAAAATTATTAATTTATGGATTTAAATTTTTTTTTATGTAAAAAAAAGAAATAACGAGATTTCTTTTACTTCGTTTCCCCCCTTCCCCCCCTCCTTTTTTTTTTAATTAATTACAACAATTTTTTTTCTCCGAAAGTAAGAAAAAACTTGGAAACTTACAGATTAGTCGAAAAAAAAAATTATTATTAGTAATAATAATATTATTATTATTATTATTATTATTATTATTTTATTGTTAAATCGCTAGCAGAAGACATGTATTTGAATTTTTATAATGATGATTTTTTTCTTTTATAAATTTGTTTCAGTCGGATTAGAATGTTCGGATGAAAGATACGAGATGTTTAATAATTCTTGTTACCTTTTGGTTAACTATCCAAAAGTCACGTGGGAAACAGCTAATCAAATATGTAAAGGAATGAAAGTAAGTTTTTTGTTTGTTGTTTGTTGTTGTTCTTGTTTGTTTCTTATCTTTTTCAACCACTACAAACAAATCATATTTTTTTTTTTTTTGACGTACGGTTATAAAAATTAATACCATTTATCAAGGTATGAAAAATTAATTTTTCCCGCCATTTTTTTAAAGTTTATTTTTTTTTAAGGGGTTTATGATAAACTACTTCCGCTTATTATTATTATTGGGTCGATTAAATAAATAAAAGGAAAACCATTTAATTGAAAATAATTAATTAAATTTGTTTTTTTTTTTTTTTTTCGTGGGGGGGTTTTATCAGGGAGAATTAGCGAGCATACATAATGCGGATGAAGAAAATTTCATTACCGGAAATATAAGGAATTCAATCGAATATACAACTTCCGCTCATTATTGGTTGGGTGGATACGAAAATTTAGATTTGGACGATTGGAAATGGTCGGATGGAGCACCCATGTATTACACAGGTTTTATTTCTGTTTTTTTTTTTTACCCCTTTTCCGCCATTTTTTTTTAACCGGAATTTTTTTTTAAAAAATTTTTTTTCAAAGCTTGGGCACCGACAGAAAACAACGAAATCATTCAAAATGATAATGATGATGATGATGACGACGAAGGAGAGGGGGAGGATGTAAAACGTTGTTTGTCGATACGATGGATATCGTTAAAAACAGAATCGACTCATTCTTCCAGCGGTTTGTACTGGACGCCGTATAATTGTAAACAAGTCGGTGGTTACGTTTGTAAGAAAAAAAATCAAGGTTATTATCATTATTATTATTAATTGTTTTCTTGTTTTGAACAGGAAAATTTAATGGTGAAAATTATTTTTCAGTATCTGGAGAAATGCTCAATCTTAATAAAACCGTTAACGGTACCGAAGGACAAATAATGTCTCCAGGTTATCCAAATTCTTATTATAACAATTTAGATTATTTTATACGTATCGTCGGACCCGTCTGGAGTCGAATCGTTATCGTTTTTACTAAAATCGATTTGGAATATCAAATCGAATGTCTTTACGATTACATAGAAATCGTTTCGACGGGTGGTAAAAAATCTTCCGTTCGATGGTGCGGTAATAAAACATCAAAAACGAACAGGTACCAATGCTGGAAAATTTACTCAAATTATTAAATAAATCAAATTGCTGTTAATAATAATAATAATAATTAAACGATTTCAGAACGGTTTACGTATCGAACAATAACGAAGCATTGATAAAATTTCATTCGGATTATTCAATTTCCGGTTCTGGATTTTTTGCCACGTGGAAAGCGATCGACATAACCGGATGTCCAACTCAAAAATTAACAGCGAGAGAAGGAATAATATCGAGTCCAAATTATGGAGAATTTCTTCTTCCGGAATTAGATTGCACAAGCATAATAATTGCACCACGTGAGCATCAATTTTTTTTTTTTGTTTACCTTTTATCATTTATACCTGGAGAATGACGTAGATTTTTAATTTTCCAGCTGGAAAAAGAATTTGGTTGGAATTTACGGATGTCGACATAAGAGAGGAAATGAAAAATAAAAAAAGCGCGACGCTGGAAATAAATTTAGGCGGTGACGTAATACCATTTAAAATATATCAAAATAATAATAATTTTAACAAAGGAAATTTTGTTTCCTTTGGCGAAAAATTAATTGTTAGATTAAAGACTTTTTTCGAACCGGAAGGAATTGGATTTCGTGCCGTTTATCGAACGAGTAAATAAATTAAACATTTTTTTTTACTGTGAACGTGAAAATTTCTTTTCCATTCATTCACTTCCGGTTTTTTAATTTTTTTTAGTCGGAGCTCTGGAAGAGGAAAAAGTTTTAAATTTAACATCTAATTCCACGGGAATGTTATATCATTTAAATTTTCCAGCGGATCCTCCGTCGAACGTTAATTTTTTACAACACGTCATCGTTCCAGTCGGTTACGTCATTAATTTAGATTTACATCAAGTTTCTTTATTGGAAACAAGTAAACGTTTTAACAATAATAATAATAATAATAAAAAGCGTTTCAAAAAAGTAAAAAAAAAATTAATCGTTCCAGATAAATCAGAATGTCCAGAGGAAAGAGGGGTCATTGAAATAACGGATAATTACGCAGACGAAAATGGTATTTGGTGGCATTTATGTGATTTACAAACGGATTATTCTTTTGCCACTTCTTCACTGGCTATAACATCTTATTTAAACACTCTGTACATACGTCAGAAAAATTTTAAACGTGGAACAAGACTAAACGCAACAGTCAGAGTAAAAAAAGGTGAGAGAGAGATTATTATTAATTGTGGAAATATGAAACCGACGATGATAAAATTTTTTCCGTTCCAGATTCTGATTATAAGATGAAATTATTAAAATCTTCTGGAATCGTCGAATCCTGCCGTCCGAATCCATGTTTAAACGGTGGAAAATGCATTATATCAGATTCGAAAAAAATGTGCCAATGCGCTGGACACTACACTGGAATGTTTTGCGCATTGACACAATGTGAACTAGAGCCTTGTTTGTTTGGAGAATGTGAATTGACATTGAACGGTTACAATTGTTTATGTCAAACCGGTTACACGGGTTTAACTTGTGGTAAAAAACAAAGTCCGTGCGAAGACAATCCGTGCGAGGGTAGAGGAGAATGCGTAGAAAAAAGTGATACCTTTCACTGTAGGTGTCACGCATGGTGGGAAGGACCCAGATGTGAAAAAAGAATGATGCACATACCATTTAAACCATTATCGGAAAGAATGTTACAAGAACCGTTTTGGTTGGGTTTGATAACCGTTTTCGTAGTTTTGGCTATAATCGGATTGGTTTGGTGTGCTAAAAGACATTTTCCGGAAAAGTTAGAAAAATTATTGGCGGAAGAAGCCGACAGAAATAGTAAATCGAGTGAGTTTTTCGTTTGGGTGATAAAAGAAAAACCTTTTTTATTTCCACGTAATTTTTGATTAAATTTTTTTCACAGATGTTTCCGGTATTATCCGTCCACCGTCCGTACGAGAACCACATTCGGGAACCGGAGCTGTACCCATAACGACTCCATCGGGAACGAGCAACATTCCTCGCACATTATTTGGACGACTCGGTATAAGAAAATCCTCTCTGCTTAGCCTGACAAGTCCGCAACGTCCAGACAGGGCAACTTCCCGAACATTTAGTCTCGACGATTTATTAAGACCACCACCCAGAAGTAAGATTGGACCAAATAAGTCCAAAAACAGGAATGCCAAAATAAAAAAAAAACTCATCGTCGTGTGTGCTTTTATATTTGGCTAACTTCTGGGATCTTTTACTTCTTTTTGCATAATTTTTTTTTTACTTTTTCCGATTGTCTTTTCTTTTTTAAGCCTTTTCTTTCTAAAAAAAAACTCTCTTTAGACTCTGTCTGACGCGTCTCTCTCTCTCTTTCTCTCAATGCTTTATTAATTAGTTTTCCAATAAAATAATAATAATAAATAATTTGCACAAATAAATTTTTTTAATTCTTTCACTATTATTATTATTTATTTATTTTTTTTAGGTTTTTTTAAATGATTTCTATGTATTTGCTTTCTTCATCACGTTTGCTGGATTTTTACAATCACACACAAAAATGCACTTATTTGAATGAAAACAAACAACAACAACAATTTTATGTTACGTAACATAATTGTTGTTGAGTTGTTAAAGAAGTTAATAAATAAATAAATATGTTTTTCAGTAAATAAAATAAATAGAAAATAAATATATATTAATTATTTGGATGTTTTGAACGGATATTATTGACTGAAAATACGACGACGACAACGACGACAACGACGACGACGACGATGACGACAACGACAACGACAACGACGACAACGAGGTGAACAAAATCGGATCTTACATTAATTTTATTATTATTATTACCTTCTTAAACAACCTTTTTTAATAATCACATTCTAAATTGGTAGAAAACTCCTTCTCTCTTTCTCTCTGTCTTTCGTAGTTTGCTATATTGCATTTGCTTTTATTGTTTTTTTTTTTTAAATAATAATAATAATGGTAGTGAGATAACGTTTTTAATTATTTTCTACAGGGACTCCGTCACCGAGGAAAAAACCCAACGCATCTCCTCAATCGAAAAGAGATTCGTCGGAGAAAAAGCAAATCCTTCAGCATCTCGTTTGTCCATCTATCGTACAAACAACAACCGATGCGAATAATACGTTAAGTGAACCCATCGTATTGAAAAATATTAAAAGAAAAAGTTTACCATCGGAAAAAACCGAGTGGGAAGAAACTAGTTTCAGTCATGACGCTCCGGAAAAATTAGATATTAAAACAAGCGATTTTGGAAAACTGGAGAAAAAAGTTACGTTTGCTAGACTCCTAAATAAAGTATCAGCCGAAATGAGTTCCAGTTCCGAACCGGAAAATTCAAAATCGGGTACGGCAAAAGCACTTTCTACTCCCGTATCACCAGCTGTTGATAGGAAATCTGATATCGTTTGTAGTAATCAGGAAAGCGATTCTTTATCGAGTTCCGAAATAGCTATAAGCGGAAGTGCTTTCAACAGTTTATTAGACATACCGGGAAATGAAAGAAAAGTTAAAACGATTAAAAATTCAAGTGCGGATTCGATATTGGAAATGTTTAGAAGTTTCACATCGACTTCCGTTATGACAAAAGGTAAAAAACAGACTTCGTCTACGACTCCGACCATGTCGAGTCCTCAAGAAGAATTAAACAGCGATGAATCCGCAATAGGTACACCCATTTCTACAACTTCCGGACCAATGGATTCTCCAACGGATCCCAAAGCGACACTAATTGAGATACCAGTTATCGATGCATTAACAGCTCAAAAATCAAATAATTTCCTTCAACCACCGTCTATACTCCTCGAAATACCAACAACAAACGGAAACAATAAATTTTTATCACCGATAAGAGAAATGCCCACACCCATACCGACTCCATCGTTGACTCCGACAATGCCTAGAATAAACGTGAAACCTAAAAAAATCCCTTTTTCTTCTTCGGATAGTTCGGACAATGATAATTACATAAAGAAAGAATCGGAAGTTATTGTTCACGCTCAAGAAAAAAGCAACGATGAAGAATCGTTTTCTTCTACCACCGAAGACTACATTTCGGAAAATATAACGCGGGCCATTGAAAAAAATTTGACAGAAAATTTATCGGAAACGCGACGACCAAATGTTGTTATACCATTGTTAACCGTACAGGAACCATCACCTCCTGGTTCGTTTCCGGGATCTCCACCCCCTCAAAAAAATACAGATCCTTTTGTTTATTCTCCAGTCGGTTCTCCTTCTAGACGATTAATCAAAGGACAAGATAAACCAAATTCATTGGATTTACCTTTTCCACCGCCTTTGATAACAATTACTTGTAACGTTTCCGAACCTGAAAGTGATACCGAACCGACTTCTTCTCTTAAAAACATGAATATGGGAACGCATAACACGACAGTTAACAGCGTCGGAATGAGTTATTTGAGTCCTTTTTCGATGTGTTCAAGAGCTGATAGAACTGCTTCTGAATCGAATTTAAGTTCTAGCGGATATTCTTCGATGGCGAGTCCGGGTCCATCGAGATGCGGTTCAAACAATCCACTTTGCCTATCCGAAGTCGAAGATCATCATCATCAACACGCTCAAAATTCATCATCAACGTCCGAACGTCGTTCGGGTCATTTAAGAACGCCTCCGAACGAAGAATCTCAACATAGAGGACGATCCGATTCGGAAACTTTATCCGATGATCCACTTTTAGAATCAAACGATGAAGGAATCGGAACGGATCACATTGACGAAAAACCGGAAGAAAAAGAATTAAAATGTGTCAAAGACGTTGAAGTTTTTTTTGGTGGTGATGATAAAAGTGGTGGTCAAACGATTATAGATTTCGGTTCGCTTATTGTTCCAAACATTTCACCGAAAGGAACAATAAAAAAATGGGAAAACATTGAATGTTGCAGCCTTGGATCAACACTTCCGAAGGCATCCCTACAACTTCCGGCAATCGTAGTTCAAGCTGATTATTGTGATAAACTATTAAGTCCAGTTAGCTCAAGAAGTGAAAGTCCATTAAGTGACAAAGCCGTTAGCTTAGATAGATTTTCACCTTTTTTTTATAGTAAAACAAAATGTGATAACCTCCCGTTCACGGATTCTGACGGTTTGTACGATTTTCCAAGTTCGGATTGTCATCCGTCGAACAATAAAAGCGTACAGGCAGGTACGAATTCTCATAGGAAAAACACGGGTAGGAGGAGAGAAAGGCGTAACAGTCATCGTAGTTTAATAACCGGAAGTAAAAATTCATCTCCTACAAAGGGTAAAACAACCGGAAGTCTTTTGGAAGTGCCTCATAAAGAAACTTCTTTTGGACATCGAATAATTGCTCAGAGAAAACCCTCGCCCAAAAGAAGAATAAGAACCCAGCAACAACAGCCTTTAAGTTCTTCCAGTTCGACTGAAAGTTTAACAAGTAGAAAATCACTCGAACTTAAAAAAATTATTAACGATGACAATCAAATAAATAAAAATGTTGTTGATCCGCCATTCCCCGGTTCGAATGAAGCATCCGCCGAAGATACCACCGAGGTAATTACTACCCAACTTTCGATTATTTTAAATTTTCCTTCTTGTCATTAAAGTAACGAACATTTCAGGAAACGAATCATCGAACGATAAACGATCCTCTTGATTCCGATCATCCGCCACAAAGAAGAATTTTAGGTTTTAGAACGATCGGTCATCAAATCAGGTACGTTAGCCAAACAAAAAAAATTCCCTAATTTATAATATCCATTCAATTATTATTATTATTGTTGTTTTTTTACGAGTAGGTTTCTTCGTCGAATAGAATTGAGTTTAAGAAAAAAAGAAAAATTAAATAAATTAATACGAAGTGAAAAAGATGACGTCGACGACGACGACGACGACGATGACGACGATGACCCTTCTCTTTGCCTTCTTCCTCAACAAGATGTTAAAAAAACAACCGCGACCGCCAACGCCGTTATTATACCACAATCGAACGTTAACAAACGTCGAGAAAGTAAAAAACGTGGCAGCAATAACGTATCCGCTACATCGACTCGTTACACGTCAAAATCGAATAATAACGTCGTCGTATCGATTAATCGAAACGGCGAAACCAACTAAAAAAAAATTTCACTGTGATTTTAATTAGTTTATAATTTTTTTTTTAGATTTAATTGCGATGATGATAATAATAATAATAATAATATTAGTAATAAAATATTTGCGGGTTTCGCGCTCAGGTTATTTCGAAAAAAAAAAAAAAAAATGAAACCAAAATTAAATTTTTCGTCTGCTTTTCAATAACAAAAAAAAAAAAATAAGAAAAAAATTTATTTTTTTAATATTTTGCTTATAATTCGAATTTAAAAAAAAAAAATTACCTGAGAATAAAAAATTATATTTTTGCGGGGAGACAATGTAGAAGTAGTGGGGGGTGGGGTAAGGGGGGTAAATTCGCATTTTCTAAACTACTTTGTAAGCTTTTGTCACATTTTCTCACTCTCAAACAAAAAAAAAATTATTTTTTAAAAATTTCATTCGATGAGAGAGTTTTTAAAGGCTTTAGTAGGAACTCTGGGGGGGGCATTGGGGGGGGCATTGGGGGGGGCATTGGGGGGGGGGCGTCGTCAAAATCTTTTTTTTTTTTTTCGATCTGAAAACCTGGAAAATTTATTAACACACACAAATTCTTCGCCTTAACATGCCTTAAATTTATTTTTATTAAATATATACAAGACACATATAATATTATTATTCGGGAATAAAAACTTTCGAATCGTTTCCATTTTCGATCGGTTATTTCCGGTTAATCCCGGATGTTTACGTACCGCCATTTTTAAACCGATCGATATGGTCGATATGTACGAGTTAAATAATAATTTTTTGCTTTCGTCAAACTTTTCTCCTTTTTTTTTTTTTTTTATTACTTATTGCGTAATATGTTGATAACTTTGAATATTAATAATAATGATAATGATAATGATAATGATAATAATTAACACAATGAAAAATACGCGGTAGAATAATATTATTATTATTTTTTTAAAATCATTCTAGAAGCTTTTTCTAGAAGTTTTAGGAATGAATTAGGAAAAGTAGGCGGTGGTTACCTTTATTAATTTCAATTAAATATTATTAGAGGGCTTTAGAAAAGGTTATTAATTAATAAATAAATAAATTTTTTTGTTTACCCCTTATGTCTACGTAGTAGTATATTGTAGCAATAATTAATAACGATAATAATAATGATAATAATAATGATGTTAGTTTTTTTTTTTTTTTGTTAACGAACCGCCTTAAACGCGCGACATCGAAATCATTACATTATTATTATTATTACTATTTAAATATTTCAATCGTAAATTAATAATTAAAGAGAGTCAATTATTAATTAATATAAAAATAAATGCATTAATAATAATAATGATAATATTAATAATAATAATTTTTTCAATAAATGGGGGGTTTTGCTCTCACTTCAACTTAAATTTTTTTTTTTTTTTGTTCTTTACTCCCCCCAAAAAAAAAAAAAAAAAATTTGTGATTTTGTAAATAAAAAATAAAAAAAATTTTTGAATTTGTAACAAATAATAATAATAATGATAATAATAATAATAATAATAATTTCGTGCTAATTTGTTTTTGCTTTTTGCTCAATTAGATTTTTAGATGAGAAAAATAAGAAAAAAATGGAAGCACATGAATAAAAAATTCTTTTTTTTTTTCGAATTTGAAAAATTTTAAAACAAAAAAAATCTTATTTGCCTTGGCTCAATAATATTAATAATAATAATAAAGATATTTGATTAATAATAATAATAATAATAATAATAATAATGATGATGATGATGAAAAAATTTTTTTCGGTTTGTTTTCGATGATAATTCGATTAATTTTTTTTTTTTTTTTTTAAATTTTATTATTTGGGTGAAAAACAAAAAAAAAAAATTTCGGATCAATAAAATGTAAATTAATAATAATAATACTAATAATAATAATGATAATATATTTTTTATTTACGCTATAAGCTGCGTTTGTTTATATAAATAAATAAATATATATATTTAAAAGTGCAATTCTTTAAATAAATAAATAAAAATTTATTAATTTATATAATTTGAAAAGTAAATAAAAATAAAAAATTTAAATTGTTTAAATTGCATAAATTTTATTAATAATAATAATAATAATAATAATAATAATAATAAAATAAATAAATAAATTTTGTTTTTGTTACGAAAGCATACAAAAAAATAAATTTTTTTTTTTTGAATTTGTAATCTATTAATAACATTAAAATAAATAAATAATAATAATAATGATAATGTTTTGTGTCTCACGTTTTTTTTTTGAATAAAATAAAAAATACACGACTATCGATTACAATAAATAAATAAATAAAATTTTTTATGGATTTATTAAAGTAAATTTCTTCTAATGGAAGCCTCTGAATTTCTCCTTTGAAATTTATTTTTTCTAACGTTGGATTCTTCATTTTCTCCCGTTTCTACGTCATCGGAAGTGAATTTTTGAGGGACGTTCGATAATGATTGCAAAACGTTACGAACGACTGGAGCATTGAGAGCTTTTTCGGATAAAGAAAGGATTTTAACGTTGGTAGCATTGGTTTTAAGACCGTTGCCTTCCATTATGGTGGGTAATTGTCCGCTCGAACCGTTGTTAACGCCGCCATTTCCACCATTTCCGCTTCCTCCTGCAATCACATCTTCATAATTTAGAGTAACCGTGGACACCTGCGGGCAAAAAACGGGAAAAAAAAATTTTTTTTTTTTTTAAAAGCCCGCCTTTTTTAAAAGAGAGAGAGATAGAGAGATAGATGGATGTATTTCTTCTCACCTTGATTTTGATTTATCATCCATGAACTTCTTTTAGAATTTTCATTTTTAACTCTCATAGAATGTCTCATAGATCTCGACATTGGTCTCATTCTATTAAAGGCTTGATGAGGAGTCGTTGATTGTCCCGCTTGTTGTCCCAACAAAGCCGTTATCAATTGATCCAAAATGGCGGGATCTTGTAAGTTTAAATTATTGTTTTGATTTTGATTGTTGTTTTGATTCACGGAATTCCTACCTTTTCCTAATATCTGACTCAAAGTCTGCGGAAAAAATAATAAATAAATTCGAGCGTCCATTTTTTAAAAGAAATTCACGGTTTATGGTTCTTACGTCTTGTGGTGTCTGTGCGTAGCTGCATCTTTTTACTTTTCTGAACGTGTTATCGTCTACTGCTTCGCGAACTGCTGCTTCCAATGCGTCACCAAGATTTTCGTGTGGTATTTTTGACATGTCTGGCATGAGACTGCTATAAAAAATTTTTTTTTCCTATGTCTAATTAAATACTTATTGATAAGCGATTAAAAATGGCGGTCATCGTGATTCATTATATATTTATATTTTAAAGTTATATAAAAAAAAAAAAAAAAGAAAAGAAAAAAAATATATAAACTTATAAAAAAAAAAATAATTGCAAAGTTTTGTGAGATTAATTACATAACATTAGAATTTTTGATTATTCAAGGACGAATTTTTATTCATTTATTTAAACAAACAGTGCGAACTAAAATTTCGAAAACGGAGTATGGATCCATGTTAGATGATGGCCTTCGATCTTCCAACCATCCTTTTCCATCTTCGGCAACTCCACGAGGTATACGAATACTTACTCCTCTGTTAGCAACACCGGAAGAAAAATCATTTATGGAAGATGTTTCAAATTTTCCGGTCAATCGTCTTTCGTTGTCTTTTCCTCCTCTCGGATCGTAGGCCATTATGTGTTCTTTGTGTTTTTTCGATAATTTTCCAATGGCTTCTTCTATGGCTTTCATTCCTCCGTCTTTTCTCATATTTGCCGTTGAAAAATTTGTGTGGGCTCCGGCACCGTTCCAATTACCCTCCATCGGTTTGGGATCGAGTGTTACGACGACGCCAAATTCTTCGGCGACGCGATGCAAAAGATATCTCGCGATCCATAAATCATCGGCTGCTTTTATTCCCAACGTTGGCAAACATTGAAATTCCCATTGGGCTGGCATAACTTCGGAATTCGTTCCGGCGATCGGTATTCCCGCATACATGCAAGCTCTGTAATGCGCTTCGACAATATCTCTACCGTAGACTTTATTAGCTCCGACTCCGCAATAATAGGGACCCTGAGGACCGGGGTAACCGCATTTCGGCCAACCGAACGGATAACCATCCATGTCTAACATTGTATATTCTTGTTCTACTCCAAACCAACATTTATGTTCTTTAGCTGCTTCCAATGCTTCCAAAGCACCAGCACGATGATTCGTTTTCGTCGGGGTTTTATCGTGCTTGTACGTGTCGCAGAGAGCGAGGACGTGAGGTGCGAGCCTAAACGGATCGCAATATAAAGCGCAGGGTACTAAAAACGTATCGGAATTGTGTCCTTCGGCTTGATACGTTGAACTTCCATCGTAGTTCCAAACAGGCAAATCTTCTGGACATTCGGGAAAGTAATCGAAAACTCTATCCTTCATTCTTAAATTTTCACCCGTACCATCGATCCATATATACGACACGATGCATTTATTTTCGGGTTGAGGCAATGCCAAAAATTTATTCAAAACCGTTTTGTTCATTCTCCAATTAGGTGAATGTTTTAAAACAGAATTCATGCGATGCGTGTGCGTTACGCTTAAATACCTTACATTATTAACATTATTTCTTTTATGAAAATTTCGTATAAGGAACAAACAAGAAGACGTTTTCGAATTCATTTTTCAAACAAAAAAAAATAAAAAAATATGAAGATAGTTATACAAATTTAAACATAAACGAAAAATTTTAATAATAATAATAATAATTATTATTATTATTTAGTACAAGAAATTTAATTTTATATTTTTGTCAATAAATTTATAACAAGCCGACAACCGCAGAAGCCATTTTGAATTTTCACTCATTATTTTTTTTATTTAAATTTTTGTTTATTTCGAACGATAAATAATCGATTTGAATTGTTTAAAGTACTTCTTTTTTTTTATTGTTATTTTAATTAATTAATATTATTATTTTAAGTATTAAGTAAAAAAATATTTCTTACTCTTTTTTGTGTCCTCCTTCTTTTGCCGCTTGCATTGATGCCCTGTTAAAATCTCTTGCTCTTCTTATGTCCTCTGCCCAAAATCTTCTCAAATCCACGCTCGATGTGTAGGGTGCAGCAATTTCTTTTATCTATTCAAACGAATGCATTTTAACGGTTATTATTATTATCGTAAGGGTAAAATTTCACGGGTAGGGGGGATGGAAAAAATAATTTGACGTACTTTTAAAACGCAAACGGCCGTCGTAAATATGCAAGCAATGTTAACAAGAAAAAGGCAAAAACTTATAGCGCCCATTGATACCAATTCGTGTGGTAAAACGTCAGAATAAACCGGTTTATATGCGGTCCCCCCATTAAACGGTTCTCCTTTTAAATGTGGGATTTTCATTTTGTCACCGTAATGGATTTTCATGCAAGTAAGACCCCATAGCATCCCCTAAAAAAAAAACGTTTTATTCGTGAAAAAAATAATTCTTTCTAAGAAAAACTAAGTATTTATACACTCACGCAATTAACGATGGGTGGTAATAATGATGCTGATATGGCAACACCAATCAATGGACCGGCACTACCTTGTAAGAGTGCTAATGCGACACCGGTACCGGATGGTAAAGCCCAAAGTATACCAATCCACAACGATCTAGCTTGTCCTCTAAATAAATTTTTTTTTGTGAAAAAATTTTCCCGGGGAAAAATCACAAACGTTAAAAAACCTTTCTCACCTTCCTTTCATTTCTTCCGTTGGCCAATCACCGAATCCCCAGGGATGTTCCGTCGTTCCCACTAGTAATCCAAATATAAATCCAAATACGAGTGACATGGCTATGCCGGCAGCTTCACTTTTCAAACCTGTCAATTGTAATTTTCTATCGGAAATGACGGTGCCGAACGTTATCGCCATTATGGGACTCTAAAAACCAAAACAAAAAATTTCGGACTGTTCCAGAGGTACGAACTGAGGAGGAAATCCACACAAAACGGCGGAAAAGAACGCGAAACGAGGTGAGGAAAAGATTTTTTTTAGAATTTAAATTTCCCGCCAAAACCATAGAGTAAAAAAAAACAAAAACCAATTTTTTTTTTGTGGTTTAATTATAATATTAAATAGGTTTAAGGTCGTTTATGTAAGAAAACGGAAATCCTTGAAAATCATTGAAGCGCGAGGAAAACGTTTAATTTTAAAAAAAACGTTTAAAATTAATTTAAATTATTAACGGACGACATTTTTAAATATATTTTTTTTTCCGTGAGAATAATACGTTTTTACGATTCCCAAAAAATTATTATAAATTATTATAAACAAACCATTAACGGTGAAACCAACATGGCAGCAACAATATTAACGGCGCTGTTTTCTACCAAACCGACAGCAGCAATCATGCTGGAAAAGAAAAAAAATTTTTTTTTTGTTGTGTTAATCAATATGTCGGACATTTTGAAAATGTGATAGAAAAAAAAAAAACTTACTCAGCAGTTAAAATAAGTAATAAATAATCAAATGTTAATTCTGCACTTCCTTTAACACCGTCGACAACTTGCGCGACGGTTAATTTTGATCGAACGGAATCGACAAAACCTTTCCAGGCTTTTTTATCAGATTCGTCCATGCTGATAAGAGAAAAAGAAAATTTTTTTAAAATTGATAAAAGTTTATATATTTTATTAAAAAACTCACTCGTCGTAAAAATTTCCAAAACCGTCATCGACAGCACTTTCATAAACCGAACATGGTGACACGCTGACGATGGAATTCAAACGATTTCCAATTCCGATTTCTTTTAATGCGTGTAAACAATTTTCCGTTTCGTCTCCAGCATCCCTTGGAAATATTATTTGATAATAATGTTGTTCTTTATCTTGGCACCAAACGGCATTTTGAATTTCAAGCTTTTTTAAAACTTCTTCCACGAGCTGGAGAAAAAAAAAAAAACATTTTTTTTTTGGGGGATGAATAACGCCGCAGCCACCACCACCACCGTCACCACAACCCTTGCTTTACGGGGATTTTATGAAAAAAATAATTTGAGATTATCCTACCTTTTCCAAAGCGATTTCTTCTACCATTTTTCCAGAACGTAACACAACAGGATTTCTCGGTGGGATTCTTTGTAAAGCCGTTTTTCCTGTCGGATTCACTCTGGCAGCCGGACGATTACCGACATGCCTAAAATATTATATTATTATTATTATTTTTTAAAAATTCATCGAATGGATTATTATTTATTTTTCATCTGGAGGAAAAACAATATGGAGGAAATTTTTTTTTTTTTTTGGTAATTTAGGACGTGATATTTTTCTTATCAGTCCACTTTTGATTTCTTATCAAAACGTGTAATTGTTTTTTAAAGAGATGACATTTTTTTTTTTCTGTTAAAAAAATAAGTCAAGGTAAAGATGGGAAAAAAAAATTTATCGGTTTTCTTGTTGCTGTTGCTGTTGTTGCATTTTATAAATTTTTTATTCAAGTCGTCTCTCTTCATCTTTTTTTTTTATATTCGATTTATCGTTTTTCTATTATCGATTATCGACAAAAAAAGTCACAAAGTATTTTTTGCTGTTGTTGCTCTTTTATATCACGTGAAAAAATTGATCTCTCATGAAATTTCAAAAGACGACAGTATTATTATAAAATTAATAAGAAAATTTATTTTTAAAAATTTGTACAAACGAAACAAATCGACGTTTGTACGAAAGGAAAAAAAAATTTTTTGTTGTTTGTTTGTTCGTTTTACTTACTTTTCAACGTTTCCGATTTTATTTTGCGAATTTCCAACGAAACCATCTGTCGGCGGTTCTTCCAAAAGGACTCCATAAAGGATTTGTTGTTCGTATTCTGCTGTTGGTACGACAACGACAAACAGCATGTTGTTTTAACAAATTCCAATTCAAAACTGATATTTGTTTCATTTAATCCGTACACTTCTCTCATTATTATTTTTTTTCTTCCCCTTATTAGCTATAACAATCTAATTAATCAACGTCTTAATAATAATAATAATAATTGTAATTTAATTTTAATTAAACGGTTCGGCACCAAAAAATGAAAATAGGATGTAACAATTATAAACATTTAAGGATTCTGATCTAATAATTAAAAAAAAAAAAAAATTCTCACGTTTCGAGATTTAAATCATACGCGAAATGTGAGATGTATAATTAAAATTTTAATAAATCCGGACAACAAACAAATTTAACCAGACAACAAACACGTCGTCGTCGTCGCCCTCGTCGTCTGCCATCACCCACCGCCTCATTAAAAAAACATGTCGTCGTAAATCAAAACAAAAACGAGAATTTAAGAAGAAAGTAAACAAATAAAGAGCTAAAAAAAGAGGTTGAATAAACTTTTTGAACAAAAAAAGATATGAAAAACATGAAACATAATTTCCAATATGGCCGATTTCCTAGTTGGCGACACCGTCGATCCTTTAAAAAAAAATCAATTAAAAAAAATTAACAAATTGTCGCGAAAAATATTCGCGACGGGTTTCTGACGTGGATGAAAACTACCTCTCTCTCTCTCTCTCTCTTTTCATACCACGGGTAAAATTTACAATAATAATAGTAATAATAAGTAAACGTTTTTTAAACACGTCAAAAAATTATTATAATTAATTAAAAACCATGTTAAAAGAAAACCTTGTTTAAAGGTTGTTAACATTGGAAAAAAAAAAGGATTCATTATGGTTTTTTCCCACTAAAAAAATGACAATAAAATGATGATAAAACAATCGTTATCATTATTATTTTAATTAACTCGAAAAAAAACTTATGAGAAATCATTTATAATAAAAAAAAGCGAGAGAGAGAGAAAATGAAAAAGACGACGACAAAATGACGAGCAACGCAAGGTTAGAGTAATTTAATTTGGAAAAGAAGAAGAAAACGACGTCACGTGATTAAATAAATAAATAAATAATTAACATAATTTATTACGATTAAATTCGAATTGTAAAAAAAAAAAAAAAAAATTATTTTGCGTAAAATAAAAGATTATTAAAAATTTTATTTATTTATTTTCGATTGATCGAACGCGCGACGTCGTAAAAACAAACAAAATAAAAAAAAAATAGAAAGCGTTTGTTTGTATAAAACAAACAAACAAATACATCCACTTTGTAGGTGAAAAAAAATGGGCCAAGGATAAGGTGACAGAAAAAGAAGAAGAAGAAGAAAATGTTTGAAAGCTCAAGGTGACGTAAAATAAAACGTTAAAAATAAGGAAAAATAATTTTTTAATTCATTTAAGATCATCATCATCATCGAAATAACGAATGAATGAATGAATGAATGAATGAATTAAAAAAAAAAGAAAAATTTTTGTTTGTTGGTGTTGACGATAATGACGTTAAAGGTGTTGAAACTTGAATACGATGTTATTTTATATGATACTAATTTTTTTTTTTTTACGCGATAAAAGGGGATTTAACAATCGGTTGTTAATTAATTTATAGCGTTAAAAAACAATCTTTAAAGTTTCAAAAGTTTAAAAAAAAAAACGCACCAAAAAATGGCGGGAAAATTTTTTTATTTTTATAAAAAATCTAATTTTATTTATTTATTTTTGAATTTTTTCCCTCCCCCTCCCCCTCTTCTTGTTTGTTGTTTGTTCGTTTGTAATCGCGCAAAAAAAATTAACAACAAATTAATATAATCGATAAAAACAAAAACAATTTTGTTTGTTTGTTTTGAATTAACAAAAAAAAAAAAATTTAAAAAAACAAATGAATTAAATTTTCGTTCGGAAAAAAAAAAAATTATGCATTATTGTTCAAGTGTTCAAATATGAATTTTTTTTTTTTTTTCGAATGTTCTTAAGTAAATTTTTCGTAAATGAGACGACGACGTTCGGTACGTACGCGTTCGGGTAAATTATAAATAAAAATTTTAAAGTCGATCGAACGTTGGATAAAAAAAATGAAAAAGGTGAGTAAAAAAACTTTATTGAAAAAGAAGGAAAAAAATGATTGACAATTTAAATTGCATCGTATAATTAAAGAAAAAAAAAATTATCTTAATCGCGTAATAATAATACTCTTTATATAAACATTGACAAACAAACAAACAAACAAACAGACGGGATAATCTACGTAACAAACGAGTTTTCAAAAAAAAAAAAAAAACTTGGCTCGATACTGAAGTATATTAAAACCGGTATACGAAAAAAATAAATTTTATTCGATAATTAAAAGAACGAATAAATAGTTAATTTTTTTATTAACAACCAACCAACAAACAAACAAACGAACAAACATATAATCGTAATTTTTTACAAAAACAATAACGATTAAAAAATTTCATTACCCTGGATATTTCTCCAAGAAGAATATTCTTCTTTTTCCCCTTGAAAGAATATGTCAAGGTTCAACGTATTAAGAAACACGCGAAAACAAACAACAACAACAAACAATAATAATAATAATAAAAACAGCTGATAATGATATCGATGATTATAATTTCCGATGATGATGATGATGATTATGGTAACGTCCAATACGACGTCGGCCTCTTTTAAATATATATAAAAAAAAAAACTCATCATCCGGCTTTACAGAAAATATAAAAGAGAGAGAGAGAAAGAGAGAAAATTAATAATAATAATAATAATAATAATGATGATGATGATAACTAACGATCACGAGGTAAAGCGCAAACTCTTGAAAAGATCGTTCCAGCAAAATGAAATCAGCTGATTCTTTTGGGGAAAAATCTGGTGGTAGCCATTTTGTGTGTCTGCGTTTTGAAAGCAACGCCACAGCGGCGAGGCCCAACGATCAGTACGTTGCGGACTTTTGCGGTGTTCGGTGCGTTCAAACAAACAAACAAACAAACAAAATAAAAAAAAAAATCCAATTTTTTGTTGTTGTTGTTGTTGTTGTCGTTGTTTAAACAAAATAAATCCGCCAGTTTTTTGTTTTTTTTTTCTCATCCCCACCCAACGTTCATCGCATTCGAAACGTTCGCTCGATAATAATAATAATAAATTGTGTCGAATAATAATAATAATAATAAGTAAAAAAAATGTCAGAATCATTATTATTATTTAATAAAACAAACAAAAATATATTTCTTTTAAAAAAATTTAATTGTGGCGTTTCGTTAAACGTTGTGTTCTTATCACAAATCGTTTCCATCACATACGGTAAAAGAAACAATACAATTTGTTAAATTAATAATTAAATAAAAACGATCGTTAAATCGATCGATTGATCGATCGATCCATCGATCCATTTATCGTCGGTGTGACTTATATCGAATCGACATTCCATCACCATCATCGTCGTTGTCACCGTCGTCGTCGATGACACTCTACTGCTTTGTTAATATATAAATACACGTACGTAAGGAAACGCATAATTTTTTTTTAAATGTAATTGATAAGTGATTATTAATAATAACCGTCACATTCGTCATCGTCGCCATTTTCATAATAATAATAATAATAATCGTCAGGATAACAACCGTCAAAACGTGTAAAAAAAAAAAAAAAGTTGTCAGTTGGTTTCACGAATTACAACCGTTTATTTACATACGAATTATGTCGTTTGTCGTTGTTGACATTTAAGGAATAAGTACATACAAACACACACGCACGCGTTAAAGAATAAATGAAATATTAATAATAATAGTAATAATAATAATAATGATAATGATAATAATTAAAGGTAAAATATTTTTTTTTCTACTATTATTATTAATTTAATTGTTTTTTTTTTTGACAGTCGTTTGTTTGTTTTTTTTTTTTTTTTGATTTTTTCTGTCGTTGAGGAGTTTAACAAAACAACAATTCCGACAGTAATTTATTTTAAAATAATATTATTATTATTATTATTCATTTGAAATTTTAAAAATGTTAAATTTGATGTTGCTGTTGTTGACAAACTAAAAAAAAAAAAAAAAAATCAATGAAAGACAAACGGTGAAAGAAAAGGAGGAAAGAGAGAGAGAGAGAGAGGAAATTTAAAAAAAAAATGATTTGTTGTTATTATTATTTTTTTTTTTCGATCGTGGCAATAGAAAATTGTCGTAAGTTTTTTTTTTTTGTCGTGTGCGTTTTTTTTTTTTTTTCGACTTTCTGATTTACTATAATTTTTTTTTTTTTATTCTTGTGCGATACGTTTTGTGCTGTTTGTTTGTTTTGTTTTGTTTTTCTGTGATTTTCGTCGTGACGTTATTACGTCGCGTCGAATTTCTATCGTCACGTCGAACGAACAAGATAATAATTTGATCTTGAACTTGGAACTTTGAAATTTTTGCAAAAAAAAGTTTCCGTTTTATTTTTATTTTTCGGAAACTTTTAAACTCTAATAAAAAAATTATTATTATTTTCCGGATCGTTTGTTTGTTTGTTCTTTCAAGACAAACGAGTTTTTTTTTGTTTTTGACAACTCGTTTCGTTAAAAAAAAAATTATTTAAAAAACTCGTCCCCCCAGTCCGATTTTAAATAATATTTGTCGCCATTTTTTTTTTTAAAACCTCGCCAAATTTTTTTTTTTATCAAATCCGATTTTAAAATTTCGTGACCGATAAGAACATTTAATAACAATCATTCAATTATTATTATTATTATTATTATTGTTGTCGTAAAAAAATTCAGGGAGCAACAGAAAAATTTTTTTTATGTATTTTTTACACGCTCGAAATTTTCCAGTAAAATTTTTCCGTTTCTCATATTATCGAACGTTTTTCTTTCACTTTCTCGTCCCAGTGAAAGTTTTCCAATTTCCCTCCCTCCCCCCATTTTCTTTCTTTTAAATAAAAAAAATCGTTCGTTCTTTCGTGATAACAAAAAAGAAAAATGGCGGAAAAGCTGTTGATCCAATTACCAATAAGAAAAAAAATAATAATAATAACTCACGACGC